TGCTGGAATTACAGGTGTGAGTCACTGCACCAGGCCATATATAATGTTTTAAATAAACATTAACAGTCATCTTTCCCTTCTAAGGGTAGCAAAGTGCACTGAAAAGAGAAAGGATTTTGGAATCAGAATTGAGTTCATATTATAGTTCTACCACTTAGGTAACTTTGGTCAAGGCAGTTAAACACTCTGAACGTGAGGTTTCTCATCTGTAATGTGCACTGTTCTATTGAATATAGGCAATTTATGTAAAAGCACTGGCCACAGTAAGCACTGGCACAGTAAGCCAAGCAGGGATGGCTATTACAGTAATATTAGTGTGCAGAGTCAAAGACAATGAGGCAATCACCACTGGCTGTTCTAACGGGAAAAATGAAATGAAACAAAATCTGATCTAAAAGCTTGTAATTTCTTCTTTTTATTTTTTATTTTTTGGAAGTAGGGTCTCACTTGTAGCCTACGCTGGAGTGCAGTGGCGTGATCTCAGTTGACTGCAACCTCCGCCTCCCAGGGTCAAGTGATCCTCCCACCTCAGCCTACCAAGTAGCTGGGACTACAGGCACACACTACCATGCCCGGATAATTTTTGTAATTTTTGTAGAGATGGCATCTCACTGTATTGCCCAGGCTGGCCTCAAACTCCTGGACTCCAGTGATCCTCCCACCATAGCCTCCCAAAGTGCTGGGATTACAGGCATGAACCACTATGCTAGCCTTTTTTTCTTTAAAAAAAAAAAAAAAGAAAAGATAAAATAAAGGATGAAGGCAGTTTTCACTCTTGGAATGCTTTCAAGCACAGTATCAAATTCATTTAAAAGGACTGACGCAGTGGCTCACGCCTGTAATCCCAGAACTTTGGGAGGCCAAGGCGCACGGATCACCTGAGGTCAGGCATTCGAGACCAGCCTGGCCAACATAGTGAAACCCCATCCTTACCAAAGATACAAAATTAGCTGGGCATGCATTTCACTTTCCTGCAATTCAGAGATATTGTCCTTTTAACAAATTTAAGGTTTGTGGCAACCTTGTGTTAAGCCAAGTCTACTGGCGCCATTTCTCCAACAGTATGTGCTTACTTCATGTCTGTGTCATGTTTTGCAGATTCACACAATATTTCAAACTTATGCATTACTATTTATTTTATTTTTTTTTTTTGAGACAGGAGTCTTGCTCTGTTGCCCAGGCTGGAGTGCAGTGGCACCACCTCAGCTCACTGCAACCTCCGCCTCCTGGGTTCAAGCAATTCTCCTGCCTCAGCCTCCTGAGTAGCTGAGACTACAGGCACCCACCACCATGCCTGGCTAATTTTTGTATTTTTAGTAGAGACGGGGTTTCACTATATTGTCCAGGCTGGTCTCAAACCCCTGACCTTGTGATCCGCCTGCCTCGGCCTCTCAAAGTGTTGGGATTACAGGCGTGAGCCACGGCGCCCGGCCTTTTTTTTTTTTTTTTTTTTTTTTTTAATACTTTAAATTCTGGGATACATGTGCAGAACGTTCAGGTTTGTTAAATAGGTATACATGTGCCATGGTGGTTTGCTGCACCCATCAACCTGTCATCCAGGTTTTAAGCCCCACACGCATCAGGACAACGCATGCATTGTCCTAATGCTCCCCCTCCCCTTGACCCCCAGCCCCCTTATATGCCAGGCCCTGACTTATGCATTCTTACTGTATCTATTATGGTGATCTATGATCAGTGATCTTTGATGTTATTTGTTACTACTTTAATTGTTTTGGGGTGCCATGAACTGAGCACACGTAAGATGGCAAACTTAATCGATAAATGTCATGTGTGTTTTGACTGTTCCACCCACCAGCTATTCCGCAATCTCAGACCTCCCTATTCTGAGACCAAGTAACACTGGAATTAGGCCAGTTTAACCTTACAATGATCTCCAAGTGTTCAAGTAAAAAGAAGCATTGCATGTCTCTCACTTTAAATCAAAAGTTAGAAAGTATTAAGCCTAGTGAAGAAGGCAAGTTGAAAGTACAGACAGGCTGAAAACTAGGTCTCTGGACCAAATAGTTAGCCAAGCTGTGAACGCAAAGGAAAAGTTCTTAAAGGAAATTTAAAGTGCTGCTGCAGTGAACACATGAATGATAAGAAAGTAAGAAGGCCTTATTTCTGATATAGAGAAAATAAACATCAAACCAGTCACAATATTCCCTTAAGCCAAAGCCTAATCCAGAGCAAGGTTCTAATTCTCTTCAATTCTGTGAAGGCTGAGAGAAGCAAGGAAGCTACAAAAGAAAAGTTGAAGCTAGCAGAAGTTGGTTAATGAGCCATAAGGAAAAAAGTCATCTCCATAACATAAAAGTGCAAGATGAAGAAGCATCAAGTGCCACATAGTGAAACTCCGTCTCTACTAAAAATATTTTAAAATTAGCCTGGTGTGATGGCGCACACCTGTAATCTCAGCTACTCGGGAGGCTGAGGCAGGAGAATCACTTGAACCCAGAAGGCGAAGGTTACAATGAGCCAAGACTGCGCCACTGTTCTCCAGCCTGGGCGACAGAGTGAGACTGTCTGAAAGAAAAAAAAAAGTGATTCATTGTATTTCACTATCACTTTATTGTGGTGATCTGAAATGAAACTCATAGTATCTCCAAGATATGCCTGTACATATCAGATCAATGGGAAAACACATGTTAATCACTGAAAGGTAGAGCTAAGAAAGCTTCTTTTATTTTCTGGTGCCCAAATATAAAATCTTGAAAGATTCCTTTGTATTTTTATTCTTAGGCAACAAGCTAAAAAATATTGGAAATTAGTTAACCCCAAAAGATCACATTGCTTTACATTAGAAGAAAATTTGTTTTTATATGAATTTTCAGCTAACTGATTAAAGTTCATGATTATATGCTAGCTTCAACAAGTTAAAAATAGATCTTGCTAATCTGCTATTAGTAGGAAGGACTCTCAGTTGTAATTACAATATTTTGAGCATGTTAATCCTCCTTTAGCTGGTCCATTCTTTGATGAAAGGCACCCATTTTCCAGCTTAAAGTGAATAAGCTAAATAAAGCGTGCTATCTGTGCCTGAAACAGAATTCTATCCTTTGGCCTCAATTAGCACTACTCATATTGACCTGTCTTGGGGTGGGAGGCTGGTAACAGCAAAAATGTAAGAAACTATTATTGAATGTACCTACACTGTACAAGCCACTGTGCTAGATGCTTTACATACACTGTCATTTAATCCACAGGTAACTCAGCAGTAGCAATTCTTATAGCTACTTTGCAGAGGAAGGCAATAACTGACAGAGACAAATTTCAGATTCAAGTGTGTTTAAATCCAGGACCCACAATCTTAACATTAAACTATACTTCTTACTAAAATTACAGTAAATAGAAATTATAAAGCTTTGGTTTTTGGAAATCATAAATAACAAAAACTTCCCTTCCTTGTGCAAGCAAGAGAAAAAGAAACTTTTACTGTCATTACTAAAATGTCAATCCACACGATGATAAAACTGAGCTAAGTGAAGTTTTTTTGTTTGTTTTTTTTAAAGATAGGGTCTTGCTCTATTGCTCAGGCTGGAGTACAGTGGCACAATCTCAGCTCACTGCAACCTCTGCCTCTCAGGCTCAAGCAATCCTCCCACCTCAGCCTCCCGAATAGCTGGGACTAGAGGTATGTGCCCAGCTAAATTTTTTAAATTTTTTGTAGAGACAGGGTCTCACGATATTGCCCAGGATGGTCTCGAATTCCTAGGCTCCAGCCATCCTCCTGCCTCCGTCTCCCAAAGAAGCACTGAACCTGGCCACTAAGTGAAATTTAAAACATAGGAACGTATATCTGAAATAGATGAAAATACCAATAAATTTACAAGTCATTTTCCTATTGCTTATCCTCAAGCTAATAATCTCAAAATTATGCAGCTACAAAGAAAGATAATTTTATTTGGTTTCTACTGTTTAATCTCTGAAGAAAACAGATGTAATCTTGGAAGTTGGGGAGATTCAAAGTTCGGGCACAAAAACAAAAAAGTAAAAGTGCCCTAAAAAGTATACCCATATTCTGCCAGGCACAGTGGTTCACGCCTATAATCCCAGCACTCTGGGAGGCCAGGGTGGGCAGTCAAGAATTCAAGACCAGCCTGGCCAAAATGGTATAACCCCGTCCCTACTAAAAATATAAAAATTTGCTGGCCGTGGTGGTGTGAGCCTATAATCCCAGCTACTCAGGGAGCTGAGGCAGGAAAATCGTTTGAATCTGGGAGGCAGAGGTTGCAGTGAGCCGAGATTGCTCCACTGTACTCCAGCCTGGGCAATACAGCAAGACTCCTTGTCAAAAAAAAAAAAAGTATACCCACATTCAAATTATGTAACCTGCCTATATCTTCAATAAATAAAATTTAACTCTATGTCATAGCCATGAAAAAAACGAATCTGAAAATGTAAAACAAAATATTCTACAAAATGTGCTTGGCACAATACTTGCTCTAATAATTTATAGGTCTAAACAAACTTTATATATTAGTAGAAAATACTTATAAAAAAATGTCAAGATGAAAACTAACATCTCTAGCATAGAATAATCATTATAGTAACTTTTTCCTTCTTATCAATAGTTGTTATTTTTAAGAGACATGACTTACTTTTAAACAACCGTGTTGTTTAAATACGTTATAACAGCATGTTAATATTCAATGTTAATAACTCTACAACATTAAGAGCGCTGTCAAGTGTTAGCCAAGCATATTTTATGCAATGATTTTTCTGCTTATTTAAGCCTTTTCCTTACTAATAACAAATATATTGCTCTTAATGGTCACATGAATACTGGTAAGTTTTCAATGTAACCCAGAAAGTTACTTCCTTACTTTGGATACTGAGAAAAGATTCACTTCTATGATTTAAATAGAAAGCAAATTAAACAGTACATAAACATATTGAATTCAAGATGTTGGTCATATATAGATTTATTTCATTTTCTCAGAAAAAATTCTTAAAATATCTAAATGTCGGGATTGAAAAAATGAATTTTGAGCACTCACCGATTGCATGCTTACTCCAACTTGATGAAAAACCATCCTAATTAGGCGCTTAATCCAGCCAAGCATTTATATGGCAAAGTCTCCCCAAATTTGCATTTCAAGTACTTCTTCAGGCATACATAGCAGCACATGGTCCATAAAACACACTGAAAATTTAAAATGCAAATACTAAAATGAAATCATTATTATTTAGAATTTGTACTGTCTACATGTCTCACAGAGCAAGCCTAAAACATTTTTAAAACTTCATGTGCAGCCCGACCAACATGGAGAAACCCCATCTCTACTAACAATACAAAATTAGCCGGGCATGGCGGCGCATGCCTGTAATCCCAGCTACTCGGGAGGCTGAAGCAGGAGAATCGCTTGAACCCAGGAGGTGGAGGTTGCGGTGAGCCAAGATCGCGCCATTGTACTCCAGCCTGGATGACAGAGCAAGACTCCATCTCAAAAAAAAAAAAAAAAACTTCATGTGTAATTTAAGAGAAAAAAAGATTTGCTTGTGATCAGCTTGCTTAAAGTAACTGTAACGGTATAAGGTGTTTTGTTTTCTTTTGTTAGTATTTTTTTCAGTCAGTGTTCTTAGCTGGAAGCAACAAAAACCTAGTTTGGCTAATTCAAGTAAAAAATACATTTATGAAAAGATATCTGGGGGATAACAATCTTCAGAGAACCCAATTTATAGGCTACACAACCAAGGACGTTCAAAACTGTAGCAGACTTGGCCCTGGGAAAACACCACTGCATTTGTTACTACCACCACAGACAGGGTCCATGCAGTTCCTCCTTTTCCATGTCCCCAGCTCCAAAGATGCTGTCTATACTGGTGTATTTGCTAGACCAAGTCCACAGCTCACGTGTCATAGTAAAAGGAAGGCTGACAAAGCAAGCACCTGGCAACAGTAACAAGCAGGTTAAGCTTCCCACCAAAAATCATAAAGGAAGGAATTCGAGAAATACAAAACAGAAATTCAGATGCTGAAAGACCAAAACCAATGAATAAATCTTTTAATATTCACTAGCACCATAACCCCTGCCATTCATTATCTGCCCTACTCCCCATCAATATACTGTATATCTGACAGAATTACATTGTTAACTTGTATGGTATAGACGACTTTACTGGAAGTGTTGGTCTCTAACAAGATAAGGGAGTTTGCATCAGAATACGAATCAATACACTGCTCTCTCATTTAAAAAATCTTGCTTAAGGCCGGGTGTGGTGGTTCACATCTGTAATCCCAGCACTTTGGGACGCCAAGGGAGGCGGATTGCCTGAGGTCAGGAGTTTGAGACCATCCTGGCCAACATGATAAAACCCCAACTCTATTAAAAACACAAAAATTAGCTGGGTGTGGTGGGAGGAACCTGTAATCCCAGTTACTTGGGAGGCTGGGGCAGGAGAATCCCTTGAACCCAGGAGGCAGAGGTTGCAAATGGCACCACTGCACTCCAACCTGGGCAACAGAGCGAGACTCCATCTTAAAAAAAAAAAAAAGAAAAAAGAGAAAGAAAAAAAGAAAATCTTCCTCAAAGGCTGGGTGTGGTGGCTCATGCCTGTAATCCCAGCATTTTGGGAGGCTGAGGTGGGCGGATCACTTGAGGTCAGGTGTTTGAGATCAGCCTGGCCAACATAGTAAAATCCCATCTCTATTAAAAGTACAAAAAAAAAAAAAAATTAGCTGGGTGTGGTGGAGCATGAGTGTAATCCCAGCTACTCAGAAGGCTGAGGCAGGCGGGAGGTGGAGGTTGCAGTGAGCTGAGATCACGCCACTACACTCTAGCCTGGGTGACAGAGCAAGACTCCATCTCAAAAAAAAAAAAAAAAAAAAAAGAAAGAAAAAAAGAAAATCTTGCTTAAAAAATCAGCTAAACAACACAGTATGCTGTATGCTATAGTTGACTTACATAGTGATGTAAGCCCTTTATCTCATCATGACCAGAAACAGTTTGTGGTCTACATTTTGAGAATAACTTTATAGATAACACAGAGAATAGGAAGAAAAGTAAAGATGCCACAAATGTGCAAAGTGCTGGGTGAAAATAAACTGAAAAGAGCTGAGTGCTGATGAAAGGAGGAGGATGTGCATCATGGGTAAAAATGAACAGCAGTGGGGGAAGACAGGATGGAGTATAATAGGGTGTGAGTTCATATGAGAATCTGAGCTAAAAGCCTATATTAAGAAAAAGGGAAAAAGAAACAGAAATCCTATTAGACAAACCTAGAACCTAGGTATAAGAGTTTGACTCAATATGGTAGAACAGTTATTTTAGAAAGTTTGCTGAATTCAGCCGGGTGTGGTGGCTCATGCCTGTGATTCCAACACTTTGGAGGCCAAGGCAGGAAGATCGCCTGAGGTTAGGAGTTCAAGACCAGCCTAGTCAACATGGTGAAACCCCATCTCCACTAAAAATACAAAAATTAGCCAGGCGTGGTGGCATACACCTGTAATCCCAGCTACTTAGGAGGCTGAGGCAGGAAAATCGCTTGAACCCAGAAGGCAGAGGTTGCAGTGAGCTGAGATGGTGCCACTGAACTCCAGCCTGGGCGACAAGAGCATAACTCCATCTCAAAAAAAAAGAGAAAAAAAGAAAAAAGAAGAAAGTTTGCTGAATTCACCAAAGTTTAAATTATTATTTTTTAATCCTTTGAAAAGCTGTAAAAAAAAAAAAAAAGTATACATATTTTGCTCTATAGAAAATTTTAACATGATGGAAAGTTCTAATCTTCCTTTCCTTTTTTTTTTTTATTTGAGACTGAGTTTCGCTCTTGTCGCCCAGGCTGGAGTACAACGGTGCGATCTTGGCTCACTGCAACCTTCGCCTCCCGGATTCAAGCAATTCTCCTGCGTCAGCCTCCCAAGTGGCTGGGAGTATAGGCATGCACCACCATGCCCGGGTAATTTTGTATTTTAGTAGAGACAGGGTTTCACCATGTTGGTCAGGCTGGTCTTAATCTCCTGACCTCACCTCAGACGATCCACCACCTCAGCCTCCCAGAGTGCTGGGATTAAGGTGTGAGCCACCGCACCCGGCCAGAAAGTTCTAACTTTCTAATATGTTTTTCACTTACCTTTATAATTCTATCAGATATACAGTATGTATATCTGGGTATGGGAAGTGGGGCACAGAGTGAATGGGAGGGATTATGGTGCCAGGGAGTGTAAAATAACTTTTGATATATATTTGAATTAGTGAAATAATGCTTTTAGTCCGCTTTATTTATTGGTATTCCAAATGAGAACCCTTAGCTAAAATGTCCAAACACCACTAAATTATATTAATAACGAGCTAACTTCACAGAACATTTGTTATGTACCCGGGATTATCAGGAACATTTGTATGCTTATTAGGTCATTACATATAAAGTCTCAATTTTCACAAACCACCTTATTAAGGTAGATATTAAATTATCTTCTATTTGTAGAGGGGCAAACTAAAGCACAGTTAGTGTAACTTGAGTAAGGGTCACATGTTTATAAGTGGCAAAGTTAGGACTCAAACTAGATGTTTCCATAAGTCTGTGCCTTTATCCACTATAACCATGCAACTAAAAAAAAAGGAGTAGTTTGAAAAACCTATTCGAAATTTTGAGTGTTTTGTTTTTGTTTCTGTTTTTTGAGACAGAGTCTCACTCCATCGCCCAGGCTGGACTGCAGTGGCATGATCTCAGCTCACTGCAACCTCTGCATCCCAGGTTCAAGTGATTCTCATGCCTCAGCCTCCTGAGTAGCTGGGATTACAGGCATGCACCACCACACCCAGCTAATTATTGTATTTTCAGTAGAGACGGGGTTTCCCCATATTGGCCAGGCTGGTCTCGAACTCCTGACCTCAGGTGATCCATCCACCTTGGCCTCTCAAAGTGCTGGGATTACAGGCCTGAGGCACTGTGCCCAGCCGGGTGTTTTCTATTTTAATTTTTTCATATTGTGATTACATTCAACTTTCAACACATTTATATTCTCAAGCTAATGACAAAGTATTGAAGTATGAAGGCTTTGGACTTGAGTCTGTACCCTTGTTGTGCCACCTACTAAATGGTAAGTATTAACAAGTTATCTCCAGATAGGAACAGTACTCACAGAGTTGTAGGAATTAATAGAGATAATACATTAGGCATTTCAGTAAAAATACTAAAAAAGTAGGTTAATACTAACAGGAATGGAAAAGAATAGATGGATTCAGGATGCCAATAAAAGTAAGAATTAACCAAACTTGGTAAAGTAGCTGGCTAAAGCTGGGTGTGACGTTGCATGCCTGAAGTCCCAGCTACTCAGGAAGCTGAGGGAGGAGGGTCCCTTGAACTTAGGAGTTAAGAGTTCAGCCTGGTCAACAAAGCAAGATCCCATCTCTTTTTAAAACAACAACAACAAATGTAAAGTGGTTGGCTAGCGCAATAAGGAAGAAGAGAAAAATCAAATTACTCCAAGGTTTTGATTGGAGATGACAGAAATTATGGCTATCAGATAAGGAAATGCTGGAGAGTAAAGCTCTTCAATGAAGGTGGGTCTAAGATGACAGAAGTGTATCTAGATGAAACTATGTAGTAGAGTGCTAAGCACTGGCAGGAATATATATTTATTGATTACTATAAAAGGTCTGTGACTATATCTTTGATCAGGCAGATATATTTTAATGTTACCAGGATCTATTATTAGTTTTATAAATGAATCCTCTGAGAGCCAATGGTGAATAAGAAGAACAAAGAACCAAAAATGAGGTCAAAGCTGGAAATGACTGGCAAAAAGCAGGCAAGGAGAAAGGGTGGTTTTATGTGGGGTTTGAAAACCTATCATTAAAGCCCAGGCGTGGTGGCTCATGCCTGTAATCCCAGCACTTTGGGAGGCCGAGGCAGGCGGATTATGAGGTCAAGAGACAGAGACCATCCTGGCCAACACGGTGAAATTCCGTCTCTACTAAAAATACAATGAGCTGGGCGTGGTGGCACGTGTCTATAGTCCCAGCTACTTGGGAGGCTGAAGCAGGAGAATGGCTTGAACCCGGAAGGCAGAGGTTGCAGTGAGCTGAGATCATGCCACTGTACTCCAGCCTGGCGACAGAGCGAGACTCCGTCTCAAAGTAAATAAATAAATAAATTTTTTAAAAAGCATGAAAAACTAAAACGTCAAATAGTTCTTTGGCA